TATAGAATAATACAGTTGGAAGGGACCTTGGAGGTCTTCTGGTCCAACCCCTGCTCAATATACATCATACAGTATGTGTATATACATACATACATACATACATACATACATACATACATACATACATACATACATACATACATGTGTGTGTGTGTATTTATTTCAGTTTCAAAGACTAAACTAAAAGGAAAAAGAACGTATGTATTTGTGAACCTGCTTAAGATGGATTAAAGCCATGTTTTTCAACTTTGGCAACTTTAAGTTGCTAAAGTTGAGAAACGCTGGATTAAAAGAAGGAACAAATAAGATAAAATCAAGCCAGATAGTGTGGACTTCCAGATGATCCATTCTGCACAGGCATTCATGGCCTGGAAAAATGAAAAGGACCGCGTCTCAAAAACTTTCTCCCTGCAGTGAGCTGGACTACCACGATGCAGCCTCTGTGAACTCCCGCTGCCAGGCCATCTGTGACCAATGGGATACCTTGGGGACGCTCACTCAGAAGAGAAGGGATGCCCTGGAGGTGAGAAAGGGGCTGACAGGTTGAGACAATGAAGGTCTCTTCTTGGATGTGGCTCATGGGTTTGGGGGGGAAGGTGTGGACCAGGCAGACGTCTCCCTCTCAGGATTTTCATCCAGCGTTCTTTTTCCTCTGCCCAGCGGGTGGAGAAGCTGCTGGAGACCATTGATCAGCTGTATCTGGAGTTTGCCAAGAGAGCCGCCCCATTCAACAATTGGATGGACGGAGCCATTGAGGACCTCCAGGACATGTTCATCGTGCACAGCATCGAGGAGATCCAGGTTGGCCTCAGGATAGCAATGGCACTTAGACTCATATACCCCTTTACAGTGCTTTTACAGCCCTCTCTAAGCGGCTTACAGCCTCTTGCCCTCCAACAATCTGGGTCCTCATTTTACCCACCTCAGAAGGACGGAAGGCTGAATCAACCTCGAGTCAGTCAGGATCAAATTGCTGGCAGTGGTCAGAGTTTGCCTGCAATACGGCATTCTAACCACTGGGAAGGAAAAAAGAGGAAGTAGGGAGGGAGGGAAGGAAGGAAGGGCAAATAGCACTTATATACTGCTTTACGGTGCTTCACAGCCCTCTCTAAGCGGTTTACAGAGTCAGCCTCTTGCCCCCAACAATCTGGGTCCTCATTTTACCCACCTCGGAAGGAGGGAAGGCTGAGTCAACCTCGGGCCCCATCAGAACCGAACTCCTGGCAGTGGGCAGAGTCATCCTGCCATGCTGTGCTCTAACCACTGCGCCACCACGGCTCCTAGGATGGCGCCCAAACTCCTCCAGGCCCTTTTAGGCACCAACTGACCGAAGCTCTTTCTTCTCTCCTTCAGAGCCTGATCACAGCCCACGAGCAGTTCAAAGCCACCCTGCCAGAGGCCGACAAGGAGCGCATGGCCATCCTGGGCATTCAGAACGAGATCCAGAAGATTGCTCAAACCTACGGCATCAAGCTGTCGGGCCTGAACCCCTACACCACCCTCTCCCATCACGACATTGCCAACAAGTGGGACAAGGTGAGAACCCAACAAGGATTAGGAATGGGAGAATATGGAGTGGGTGGGTGGGTGGGAATCTATTTTTTCCAGGCTGAATTGGATCCCTTGTAAATTGCTGCCCTCCATCCATGTTCGGTATTTATCCATCTGGGACCACAATGGAGCCCAAAATTTCTGTTGATAAGGGGAAGGCAGTTGCTAAGTGAGTTGTGCCCCATTTTACAACCTTTTTTGCACAGTTCTTAAGTGAATCATGTGATCGTTAAGTGAATCTGGCTTCCCCAGCGACTTTGCTTGTCAGAGGGTCACAAAAGGGGATCGCATGACCCCGGGACGTAACAACCGTCATAAAAACAAGCCAGTTGTCAAGCATCCGAATGTTGCCTGGGGATGCTACAACGGTCACACATATGAAAAATGGTCGTAAGTCATTTCAGTGCCATTGTAACTTTGAATGGTCACTATATGAACTGTTGTAAGTCGAGGACTGTCTGTAGAAGATAATATTTGTAGCTCAGTGGGATCCTTGGTGTGGTTTTTTTCTTGCAGACATTTCATCACCCATCTGGGTAACATCATCAGTGCTAGAAAGGAGTGTTTTTTCTTCTGTAGGAACACTGACGATGTTACCTAGTTGGGTAATGAAACCTCTGCAGACAACAACCAAGCTCAGAAAGCACCAAACACCCCATATTATTGTCGTTTCCTGCTTTAAAGGGGCAAGATTTGGGGTGGGGAGGGTGGCATTACTTTTCTCAGTGAGATTTTAAACGCCAGTTTGCTTTCTCTCCTTCCATTTAGGTGAAACAGCTGGTTCCACATCGTGACCAGACCTTGCAGGAAGAACTGGCAAGGCAGCAAGCCAACGAACGCCTGCGACGTCAATTCGCCGCCCAAGCTAATATCATTGGTCCCTGGATCCAGACCAAGATGGAGGTCAGGCCTTCCTTCTCTTGCCCACATCAATACTGCGCTTCCTGTTCCTCTGGCGGGATGGGGCAGACTAGGACTGGTTATCGAGTAGGCCCAGCTTGCTGACTGGGGAATTCTGGGAGTTGAAGTCCACACATCTTTAAGTTGCCAAAGTTGAGAAATGCTGCCCTAATCTAAATCGGAATGGGGCAACTCTCCACAGTCAACTCACCTTGGGGCAACTCGACTGCAGGACAATTTAAATTTACTTACCCAAAATAAATTTTTAAAAAATGTTTTAATTTTTCTCATTCCCATTTCATTCTTTCCCTCATTTTAGCAATAGCAATTAGACTTATATACCGCTTCATAGGGCTTTCAGCCCTCTCTAAGCGGTTTACAGAGTCAGCATATTGCCCCCAACAATCCGGGTCCTCATTTTANGATAGATAGATAGATAGATAGATAAGATAGATAGATATTTCCTGAAAATAAGACCTCTCCGAGATAATAAGCCCAATTGGGCTTTTGAGCGCATGCGCTCAAATAAGCCCTCCCCAAAAATAAGCCCTCCCCTAAAATATTGCAACACAGTCAAGTGCTTATTTTATACATACATACATACTATATATCTTATATAATATTTAGATAAATAGATAGTTTATTGCAGATATTTCACAACCCAACTAGGTAACTTTACCAGTGCTCCTAGAGGGCAAACTCCAATTCTTTCTAGCACTGATGAGGTTACCTAGTTGGGTTATGAAACGTCATGAGCTCAGAGAGCACCAAGGACTCCACAATTCATACGTTATCCTACTGCAAGCCTTTGCCTGCTCGCTTTCTGGAACATGGGGGTTTAGTAACGATGGCAGCCACTTGGAGGAAGAGCCAGCCTTCTCGGGGAAGGCTCCTCCTCTAATGATGCCCCCCAGCCCCAAAGCACGCAGCCACCTCCAGACAAGAGGAGCAAAAGCCAGCAGCTGGATTGGGGCTGATCTCCTCTCACTGAAGACACAGAACTTTGAAGGGAGATGAGTGGCAAATACATCTAATCAATCAATCCATCAAAAACTCACCGACTCCAAAGAAGAGCGGGCAGGTGACGATGGCCAGTCCAACTCCTGTGCAGGGCACCAACATGGGCACCATGCAGGCTCGGAAGACCAGCTCTTCGGTGAAGGGCGCGATGACCTGGTTGCGCAGCCAGCGCATGTCAGTGAGGCAGAGGACCCAAAACCTGGGGTCTGGGGTTGGGGATAGAAGCAGTGTTACTGACGCCCCCAAAACACACAGGCCTTGATTTCTTGAGTGGGGGGGGAATGGCAATGTGACTGGTCAAAGTTACAGCCCTTGTGCCCCTTGTTCACGTTTATGATGGTTGCGGCATCCTCACGACCACGTGATCAAAATTTGGACGCTTGGCAACTGACTCCTATTTATGACGGTTGCAGTGCCCCAGGGTCACGTGATCGCCGTTTGCGACTTTCCCATCCAGCACCGTCAATGAGGGAAGCTGGATTCGTTTAACAACCATGTGGATTCGTTTAACAACCATGTGGTTCCTTGCAGAAACAACTGCAGTGTTTCGCTTCACAACTGTGGCAAAAAAATGGTTGTAAAAGTGGGCCAAAGACATTCCACTGGCGTCTTGCTAAGCCACCCAAATTCTGGTCCCAACTGTGCTCATAACTCGAGGGCTACTTGTAGGGAGACCAGCATTTCTCAACCTTGGCCCCTTTAAGGAGGAGGAGACTTCAACGCCCAGAATTCCCCCAGCCAGCCATGGAAGTTGAAGTCCGCCCCTCCTCTTAAAGGAGCCACAGCTGAGAAACTCTGACATAGACAGAGGGAACTGGCTTCACCCACACACACCAAAACACAAAGCATACATCGCCCACCCGAACAAAATATGCCCTCCCCCAATAATTCATCCCCCCCCCGGTTAGTGAAATAATATTTTCTATTATCTTAACGCAAAGCCCATCAGCAGATTCTTACCAAAGGCCACTCTTAAGCCATCTACCATGTCCCACGGACAGTCCATAGACAGCTGGATGAGGGGGCCGAGAAAGAGGATCTGGGAAGACAGGAGTTCACATTCACCGGGATGTTATAGAAAACCCACCTATTTTAGAAATATTAAAAAGAACTTATTGCCCCCACCCCAGTAGCCTTCTGTGAAATAGCATCCAGCTATCAGAAAAGTCGGCAGTTTGGCGGTTTGAATCCCTAGCGCCACGTTAACGGAGTGAGCCTCCGTGACTTGTCCCAGCTTCTGCCAACCTAGCCGTTCGAAAGCAGGTAAAAAATGCGAGTAGAAAAATAGGAACCACCTTTGGTGGGAAGGTAATAACAGCGTTCCGTGNGAGGCTCATGATTTAATTAGGGCACTGGTAGTCCTTGATTTATGACCTCTATTGGGCGCAGAATTTCCATTGCTAAGCAAAGCAGTTATTAATCACCTTTTTTGCCAGGGTGGTTAAGCGAATCATTACAGCGAAATCATGAGGTGGTTGAGTGAATCCAGCTTCCCCCAATAACTTTGCTTGTTGAGAAGCCTGCAGATGGGACACTGCAACTATTGCCAAGTGACTGTGGGATCATGGGACAGGACCCAAATTTTGATCATGGGACTGGGGGATCATGTGACTGTCCATAAGTGCGAGGACCAGCTGTAAGCCATTGTTTTCAGCACCGCTGTAACCTTGAACAGTCACTAAACGGATGGTTATAAGTCCAGGACTACCTGTCTGTGCCTGAGACATTTGTCAACGATGCATTCCTGAATTTGGGGCCAGCCAAAATTTTCAGGCAAAGTTCTAAATCAAGTGAGAGTGAACGTTTTCATGTCTTTTGACATGCCAAATTCAACCATGGAACCAATCCGGTCTGTTTCTCTGCATGTTTATAAAAGAAAGAGGAATCTCTCTTATTCCTGCCTCTTCTTCTCTACCGCTCTCCTCCTCCTCCTCGTCTTGACCACAGCACATCCGCGTGGGCTGGGAGCAGCTCTTGACCACGATTGCCCGTACCATCAATGAAGTCGAGAACCAGATCCTGACCCGCGATGCCAAAGGCATCAGCCAAGAACAGATGAACGAGTTCCGGGCCTCCTTCAACCATTTCGACCGGGTGGGTAGCAGACCGTTTTTGTGCCAGCATCTCTGTTAACAAAAATACCTCTTCATGGTGTTTGGGGTGGGGACGGGGAGGCTGTCACTCAAGCCACACACTGGGGGACTTTCCGAGTCTCCCCCTCCGCTTCTCACCTTTTCCCACTTTTGACTCATTACAGAAACGAAATGGCCTGATGGACCCTGATGACTTCCGGGCCTGCTTGATCTCCATGGGATACGACCTGGTAGGGGACCAGCCTGAACTGGGAGGATTGTGTTCTGTGTACCTGCGGCATCTCTTGGAGGGGAGGGACATTAGAGAGTGAGATTTTAACCTTGCGCATGTATATATGTATATATAGTGATAAAGGAGACTATTTGCAGCTCAGAGTTGAAATGTGGGGTCCTTGGCACTCTCTGTACTGCATTGTTTTTTTGAAGACATTTCATCATCCAACTACGTAACATCATCAAGTGTTAGTTGAGGGAGGGAGAAAGGGAGGGAGATGATAGAGAGAGATGATAGATAGATAGATGATAGATAGATAGATAGATAGATAGATAGATAGATAGATAGATAGAT